AGAGTCCATTCCTAATATTAGCGATTTGCAGCACTCTGGTAGAATCCCGAATTTGGCAACAAAAGTGATGTTTCCGAAGGTAAGTCTTGCAGTGCATTTACCTGTGGGTGTCATCAGGTGGCGTCCAGTATTCCGAATGTAAGGACCTGTCCATTACGTTCTGATTTTCTTGAGTTTGCTAGCGAGTGGCTCATCCATGATGGAAAGTCAGCGCCAGTGTCAAGCAAGGCCGTCACTTCTTGGCCGTCAATCGTCACAGTGAGGTCAGCAGTCGCAGTGTTCTCCACATGATTTTTCTGTCGGCGCCTTCTGCTTTCAGCAATAATAGTAAATTTTCGGCCATTTTAGGACATGCTTTCGGAAATTTGAGGACCTGCAACCTTCTCCCCGGAGGTCGCTGCTTTAGGTTTTCCCGTCGTGGGCTTGGAGATCGACCTCCGGCGACGTCAGTAAAGCTCCAGCGGCTTGGAGAAGAAAAACGGGCAAGCGATGGGGAGTGCATTCGCAGGTTAGAGTAACTTTGTTGCCGATCGGCAGGGTCGTCGCAAAGGAGGCACGACTTTCGCCAAACCGGTGGCGAGTAGTATCAGGCTGGCTGAAACGGTATCCAGCTGGCCGATATGGGCCATAAGGATAAATATGTCCCGACTCCCCACAATTGTAGCACAAAGGACGGTGATCTGCGGTCCACCATATATGTCTTCCACAGTGGGGGAAGCCTGGGAGGATCGCGTTCGGTCCAGGCTACGATAGGGGTGGTTGGTGGTACTGTAGCACAGGCGCGGACAACGGACGACGAACTGTGTCCGCATAGTTGTATGTGTTCGGCTGGTAAAGCTCAGCAGACAAAGAGCGACAAACAACATCTACGTAGCTGTGTGCCGGCGGCTGGTGGGACACTTCCGAATAGGGCTCGGGGGAAGCGAACGCCTGTCGTAGTTCGTGGCGCATGACTTTGGCAACGGAGGTAACTGTGACCTCCGGCTTCGGTGGTGATTGCGACAGTGGTGTGTGCCCTGCGTTCTCCACGGCAGTGTCCTTACTTACAATCTGTCGAATCAGTTGGCGTAGACAGCTTTCGTCAGGCGACGTGGCCATAGCGGCGGCACTTAAATGCGCTGGTCATGAGGCGATTGTATTGATAGTACCGCTGCTGCAACGACGGCTCCATTGCTGTGGCCTCCCTAATAAACTCGTCCACTGTTGTCGGAGGATTGCACACAAGACCAACGAACAGTTTTTTGTGTTTTTTTTTTCACGCCGCGCATGAGATGGCTGAGCTTTTTAGCTTCGGGCACGTTGGGATCTGCGCGGTGAAACAAACGCGTCATATTCTCAGCAAAGGTCGCGACTCCCTAATTTGCCTGCTGAATGAGCGACTCGAGAAGGCGTTGCGCGTTTGCACGGCGATCTGGGCTCCTGAAGGTTCAATTAGCTGACGGCGAAACTCATCCCACGCTGTCAAAATTTTCTCTCAGTTTATGACCCACGTCTTAGTGTTGTCTTCAAGCATGAAGTATACGTTGAATAGCTTCTCGTCGTCAGAAATCCACTGGTCAGACTTTGCTACCCGATCAAACTGCGCTAGCCAGTCTTCCGCATCTTTGTTTGCGTGACCATGAAAGGCTCATAAATCCGAAGATTCTGGACTGTTACCCGAGTTGGAGTGCTTGATGAGGCCATTTCTTGAACTGTGGTGTCTGTTAACAGATGGTCTTTGTGAGACGCTTAATTTGTGTCACTGGACCCTTTTATGTACTTTTGGGAGTTCTGTGCTGCATCATGGCTCGTTCTCAACAGTTGCACAGCTAACATCCGTCAAACTGCGGTCATTACCTTCGGGTGTTGATACAGTTGACTTGTATAAAGAAGTGCTGGCACACTGTGAAAATATTTCTTGTGCGGTCATTTCTATTTCGTAACAGTGCAAGTATTTGCTGTGATGGGCTTGAGATAAAATGCAATGTTTGCAGTAAACTTGAAACATCATTGCCTCATTTGCTGTGCCTAACACAAAGTCAAGCATGTGGTGTGTTTAAGAAAAGTTTTATTACACTTTGAGACAACTTTTATAAAATCAATGTTGCCTCCTTCATATAATTCTTCATTCAGAAGGATGGTGAAATGTAGATCAAAGCCTTTTGTGCAAAGCAGGTCATGGTAACCGGGAATTTATTTATTTATTTATTTACAACATACTGCAGGCCTACATGGTCCCAAACAGGAGGGGTAAATTGCAAAACAAAAACACAGCATTTTAAAAGGCGAAAAACAAACAAAATAAACGCTTGCATTTAAATTTCAATATTAGGTTATGAGAAATCGATCAGGTCAATTGACTCAACTGAATTAATCAATGATAATGGCAGCTAGTTCCATTCGTTAATAGTGTGAGGAAAAAAAGAAAATTTTAAGGTGTTAGTTCTTGTATGATATGGAGTTAAAAATTGAGGATGATGATGTCTGGTTAGTCTAGTTGATAACGAGCGTAGATATGGTCCAGGATGAAAAGAGAGTTTGTTATTCTTCAGAAGAAAAAGAAATTTGAGCCTGAGTATTTTACGTCTTAATTTCAATCTTTGTATTCCATGAGTTTGCATGAGCGCTGTTGGCGAATCGGTGGAACAGAATTTAAAAAAAATAAATCTAACAGCTTTGCACTGAACCATTTCAAGTGCGTTAGTATTGTGGTTGGTGTGAGGATCCCAGACGGTGCAAGCGTATTCTAACTTAGGCCTAATTAGCGATGTATATGCATGAAGCTTGGTTTCGGGGGGCGCCTGTTTAAGTTTGTGTCGCAGAATACAAAGCTTGCGAAAAGGAAAAGCACAAATATTAGCGATGTGAGAATTCCAACTGAGGTTGTTACTAATGGTCACCCCCAAATATTTGTATTCATTTACCTGAACTAGGGGATTAGATGGAAGACTAAGAAAACTGCCGCTTATGTATTTTCTTTGTTATATGCATGTATACTGTTTTTGTTTCATTAAGCTTCATGTCCCATTGTTTACACCATGAATGAACGTTATGGAGGTTAGTATTCAAAAGTTCCTGATCTTCTCAACAAACAACATCATGATACAATATGCAGTCATCTGTAAATAAGCGAATTTGAACTGGCTCTGTTATAACATTAACGATGTCATTAATAAAAATCAAGAACAGGAGCGGTCCCAGTACACTACCTTGTGGTACCCCCGAAGTAACTGGCAAACTATGCGAGTGGTGACCATCAATAGAAACGGATTGGGTGCGGTTGCTTAAGTAGGCGGAAATCCAATTAATGATGAAAGAGGGGAGGCCAATGTGTTTTAGTTTGCAAAGTAACTTTTCATGTGAAACAAGGTCGAATGCTTTCTGAAAATCCAAAAAAATTACGTCAGTTTGACCAGGTTTGTCAAGGACACTTGCAAAACTGTGAATTACAGTGGTTAGTTGTGTGACCGTAGGAAAACCCTTCCTGAATCCATGCTGAGATGAAGAAAGAATGTTGTTGTCTGTTAAAAATTTAATTATGTAATTTGCAACAATATGTTCAAGAATCTTACAGCAGGAAGAAGTGAGCGATATCGGACGATAGTTTGTAATCAGTGCAATGTCCCCTTTCTTGTGTACGGGCACCACACACGCCGTTCGCCAGTCAATCGGTAGATCTGAAGATGACAAAGATGCACCGAAAATGTATGCGAGGAACGGGCCGAGTGCTTCTGAATATCGACGAAGGAATGCATTTGGAAGGCCATCAGGACCAGATGATGATTTTGTCTTCAGGTTAAGTAGCATAGCTACAATACTTGGTAGCGATACAATATCTTCGTAGTCTGAGCAACATACAGGGTCAAGAATAACTTTTTCTGAAGAAACGGAAAAAACACTGTGAAAATACATATTGAAATGTTCTGCAATGGCATCCTTGTCATCAATTAAAACACCATTGATTTGAATCTCGTTGACAGACCTTTTTTTTTTATTTAAGAAATCCCAGAACTTTTTAGGCACAGCACAGAAGCATCTGCATTTACATTTAGCCGTTCTTCTAAAGAAACAATTTTCCATTAATTGCAGTCAATTCACATGCAATGTTGTCATGGAGATTCATTGCCGGTTACATGCCTCATGTTCATACATTTACAAGAAACTTTAGTACTGCTAGCACAATAAAGTAGTCGGTTGGTTTCCACTATTTGAAAACATGGGCCCTTAAAAGACGATTTTCTTCTAAAAACCTGTCCAAAATATTTCAATCACCATTGAACTTCAATTTGTGCAGAATACCTTTATTCCGTTCTATTATCAACCCAATAAATTCCGTGAGATCCTGCAACAACAAAAAAACATGAAATTTTTGAATCCAAGTGTAAAGCTGCAAACCTGCTTTCCTTTATCTCCTGTTCTAAAACTGAAATCTTCTCCACGTTGCAGGTGCTCAACACCACCCCAACTGCCAAACTCAATTTACCACCGATGCACATCCTCCAAAGTCCTGCCACAATTTTGCATGATTGGACATACAAACCTCCAACAAAACTGGCACAATAAAATTACTTATAGTCGCACGCCACGCGATAAGTCAGACGCCCCATCCAAATTGTTGAAGCACGACTAAAGAAATAGTCTCACTGATGCTTCTGGCACCGTTCGCCAAGAACAGGCATCACCAGTCAATTGGGTGTTGATCTTCGAGGACGAGGAAATGTTGAACTTCTAAAAGTTGTACCAGACAATAAGTATGCCACAAATTGCACGTGCATAAGTTCTGGTCATGCAAGTTAATCATCACTCCATATAGTGACAAAGATCATTCATTACAATTACAGGCTCTTATTGTTTATCCAGTCCAACGTCTCCCATGCTTAGGTGTGAAAAACTTACCGAACAGACAGCAGCAGATTGTTTTATCTAATCGCTCACCACACATGCAGTCCTTGCAGAAAAAAAAGAAAAAAGCCAGGAATGGGAGTGTTCATTCAACTGAGAAAGAGACTAGAGAGAACCACTGTTTCTTCGACATGTAATTTGTTACATGTTGTTTAATAGTATATTATTTTGTATACAACAAAAAAACTCACAGTGCATTGCCACAAATCAAGAACACTATCTTTTTTTTTCTTTCCGTATACTACACAATGCTTCTGCTTTTTTTTTGCCTCTTCAACGATAAAGACAAGTATAATACAACATTATTTTTCTTTTAAGGTTAAGAGACTAATAGACGCCCCTCACATCGTGCTGGCAAAAACATTTCAACGCTCACATGCACACAAGGGCGGGACATAAACACAGCCTTGGCAGGTGGGGATGGGAAGAGGAGGGGGCGGCCAACATCGCCATCATCGTAACTGTACACGAGGGGCAGAAAAAATACACGCACGCACGGAGGGAAAAAAATGCAAAACAACCTTTTCGTACAGAGCTAAAACACATCTGCATGCCGCAGGAATTTAAAAAAAAATTAGTCAGCACGACAGCCTAGCAGACAGACGATGGCAGTAATAAAAGCAGGCATTGACCACCATCTATCTATACATCAGCATCCTGGCGAAACAAAAGAAATTGAAGTAGATTCGTTCATCCAGTCTTTCTCTGTGGGACAGGCAGCAGACAGCGGCAACGTACTCTTCCCAATAGTTCCAGACACACCTCACGACCACAGACGAACAAATGCCCGGGCCCAAAACAATCGCCCCTGGAAACATGACCTGCATGATTCCGCGCACTGACTAACTGGTGCAATTCTCCCGAACAGCAGGCAACGGTGATTGAGCTGAACCCTCTTAATACGGCATGTCCGGAACAGAACGTGGACCAACAGAACAACTACGCAAAACCGCTACAGCATAATGGGGGCCCCGGGCACGGTGCCTACAGTGGTGAAGAGTGCCCACCTTAAGTAGATCCCACCATTTGCACACGGTATTGCAGGAAGAGCAGCATGACATTAAACTTGACCTATGTTCCAGGCGAACAGTTATCTTTAGCATTATTCGATAGACGGGAATGTTGCGTAGTGATCTTGCACATGTTGTACAACAGAATGTTCGTCCTCCGTGAATGAAATATATTGATGTTCGCACATACATCCCCGTCTGCGACATTTACACAAGCGTCAAATAAATAGAACGCAGCGACGACGTATGTTTCACGATAAAACGTGTACAAGACCACACCACTATAGTTATATATGCAAAACTATGACGGAGAAGTGCGACGGCTGATTCCGCCGCACACGTACTAGTTGTGAACGTTCGCCGGTGCACGCACGTTGAGGCCCAGGATATCACACGAGATCAAGAACCCTACCAGGGGAGACAAATGGCTGCCGCTGTCTTCTGCCAATACTACACCAGTCCACGCACAAGGACAGCATCGTCTATGCCATGCTGCAGCCATAGCTTGCTTCGAACATGCTGAGAGTCGTGAATTTGAACTTAATTAGCCCGACATTAATCTTGACTGTGCTTCCAGCACTCAAGTAATCTTTTAGCAATGGCTGAGCCATCAATTGAACTGAGTTAATGCACAATGCTAAGCAGAGGAATGAAACCTCATAGGCATTAACCGATTTGTGCAATTCACTGCAGTAGCAGTAGAGCAAAATGTGGCGGCAATGGCTGCTTCAAGCTTGGCATAAACGTACGGCCCCAACGACTGCACTCAATCTCAAACACTTCGCTCGCGGTCATCAACGACATCACAGCAGCTTCAAGCCAAGGAACGCTCGGCAAACAAAGATGATGACAATCGAGATCAGTGGTAACAGCGGAGACCTACGCAGACAGACAATATTTAGACAAACTCTGTACAAAAGAAGAGTGTGGTGTGTGGGGGAGGGGGAGTGATCCTTTTTCTTTTCTCATTTTGCCAAAGGTCAAACAAGGTCCTGAGATTGTTTTCATCGAAATCCACCACAACCACCAGCATATAGTCCGTCATTGCTAACCCGTGCGTGCTACGCCATGCAGCCGTTACAACGCACAGTGCCAACACCCTAAAAACTAAGCTTCTGAAAACAAGCAAATTCATTCAACAAACACACCACTGACTTGAGATGCTAAGTAGTCGGGCTAGCGCACCCTTTCTTTAAACGAGCGGTCAGCACAGCTGTTGCAGCGAATGGTGGCACTTTTCAGAGGGACAGTATGGGTCAACGAGACAACACACCTAAAACACAGCATGGAAAACTGCAAGAGCTATCTCACTCTTTTCCAAGCTTCATTTATGGAACCCCTTTAAGCTCACCAGTGGCTGGCCGGCCAACCACATGGGCCAAGCCTAACCAAGCCTGTCCATGTGCCAGTTACATGCCAAAAACAGCGGGTCAGTTACAGAGACCTCCTACGAATAAAATAAAAATTAGGCCGCTAAAACAGAAGTTGAGGCGCACCTTAGCTGCAGCATGAAGGAAAGGGGGAAATAGTGCTTGCGATGCAAGGCCTAAAATTCTTTTTCTTTTTTTTTTTCAAAGACGAGGGACCTTTCAAGGGGGAGAGAAAGACTCATCATGCAGGCCCCATCACAAATTACAAAAATATCAATAAAACACTCTCCGCGCTAAGTTATAATTTTTTTTTTAACTCGTAAATCTGTTTTGTCTTCAAAGAACCCAGCAGAGAAATAGCATCTTTTTTCCCCCTCGGTCCCTAGTGGGCAACACAAAATGGCCACACATATATGTATATAGATATATATATTTAATCTGTTTTGTCCTCTGTTTTGCATGTATATATATATATATATATATTTATATAGCATCTGTAACGCAGTAGCAGAATAGTAACAGTCGATTTTAAGGCCCTAGATGTAGAGATAAAAGAAATAGCTCCGGCAGCAGCAGACATCTATGTTTTGAGCTGCTTTTTGTAGAAGAGTTTAGGCAGGCATGTGGACAGTTTTCTCGTTTTCCTTTTCCCTTAATTTTCTTTTCTTCATCCTCTCTCGTCAGCGTGCTCCGAAAGAATGCCGCAACGAAGACACGACCACGTCCCAAAGGAACGGAGCTCTGAACACACACGCACCTAAGTAACCATCTGCACCTATCTAGACGACGGTTCGTCCAGAAGCGGTTTAAAATAAAAGCCGCCAGAAAACAAAAAATTATCAAGAACAAGCACCTTTGTCAGGGCTAAACAACGTGGAGGAAAGACACCACTTGTACTCTTGTCACAGCATGACTATTACATAAGCGTGGCAAGTTTCTTTTTTATTTCTTCCCTCTCTCTTTTTTTGCCAGTGCGCTCGCTCACTTAAACCTTTCCCACCCAAAAAAGTGCCTCTTCTCTGCCCCTCCATAACACATATATAAATGACTATGTATCTAATATATATATATTTTTTATGTATAGTATATTTACTAGAAAAAGTATTGGGAGAGAGAGAGAGAGACAGAGCACAAGTGGAAAAAGAAAAAAAAAACAACTACTGACAACAGCACGTCAAGAGTGGCAGTTATTTTCCACCCTCGTTTTTGTTTTCTCGATTTCTTTTGCGACACCATAGAGGTGGGCTTGCCTGGCTCCTCCTCACATGCCATAGTGCTTCTGGTTAAGCGGAAAAGGCACGCGACAAAATTATCCAACGCCACTTCCTTTTTTTTTTCTCTCTCTTTTTGAACCCTCTTGCTATCTGCTGGTAATTTTTTTTTTTTAAGTCGAGACTTTCGCCGCCTGAGAAGACCATCACAGCATTATGCCAAGTAGCCTGAAGAAAAATATATTTCAAGCGCCCGTTCCCAAATAAAAGGTGTGCAGGGTGCCGGACCAGAACGTCGACCTCTAGTACGTGGCCACGAACCAGGCTACAAAATCACGCGAGTGAGCATCATTTATGCAGTTAGCGACAGCGGAGGAGAAGACAACGATGATGGAAAGAAGCTTTACCGGCACCCTCTGCTGCGTACTGCAAAGTGAATTTCTCGGCAGTGCACACCCCTAAGTGAGAATGCCCGTAAGTACCTCCAATTCGAGCGCTGCACCACGGCCCACTATCTGCGCCCGTCGTCATATGCCATGCGCGATGCCGGGGTTTCCCAAAAAAACTCAGCGAACCAAAGCTTGCGTCGCAAATACCAAAACACAACGGCGATTCTTTCAGCGGTGCATGAGGGGAATCAAAACTGCAAACATCTTGGCTTAGTGTTCAAATCTGCACTCATCGATGCACACAGTAGCGCCGTTTTCCCTCAAGCCAATAAACCACGCAGTAAATTCACTCACACAATGGGAACCCCCACGACACATTCAAACTGCTTTCATTGACATTCACTCTTCTTTTTTTTTTTTCTTCTTTCAGCAGCTACGTAGCCGGTGCATACGGCAAGGGAAAACACCAAGAAACAAACCCTCAGGCGACTAACTGCAAAAGTCTAGTACCCCCAAAACCCGTCCACACACCCTGAACTGCCCGTCGCAGTCATAAAAAAATGGCTATCAATCTCTGCTGCCAAAAGTGGAGGTCACGCGAGATGTGTGTCTCCCTTCTTTTTGTGGCAATTTGTACACGAGGCATTAAAGAAGAGGAAAGGAGAAAAAAAATGGGTGGAGAGCGAGGCTAAAGCTCCATGGTTGAGAACAAACGGGGATACAGAGGACTGGGGAAGAAGAAACAAAATCTCCGCGAGACAACGCCGCACCCGAACGTGCGGCCTGTGAGGTAGACGGCCCCACTTCCTCAAAAAAAAAGGGGGGGGGGGAAGGGGTGGTGCTAATTGTGCTCGATCTGCGGGGTGGTTTATAACGCCATGTACGTTGGCCAGAAGGGATTAGAAGAGTGACAACAAGAGACAAGCAGATTTAACTGAAACAAGGCTTTACAACGGGAAACAACGAGAAGAAGAGGAGAGCCGGCAAGAACAACGGGACGACGACCATGCGACAAATCTAAGCCCTCTTCTTAACTTGCAAGCGACGTGGAATAAAATATAGCAAGGCGAGCTCGCAACACCCCCTCCGTTGGACAAAAACACTGTGCTTCACAAGGCCTCCTCCAAGGTGCGTTTTTCTTTTCCATCACAGACTCCTTCATCAACATCTCTACAACTCAACGTCAACACACTGCCAGCCGAGGACATGCATCTACTTAACCAAGCACCCTTCTCTGCTCCACTTTAAAAAAATGTTCATTTTTCTTAAACCAGCAAACAAACAATGGAGGTTGCTACGCAGTGGGGAAAAGTGCTATGAAAATGACAAAGCCCGCTAAAGAAAAAGACAATAGGCAGCTGCGCTCCTTTTCTTGCTCAAAGAACGAAGGTCAGCAGGGAAGATCGAAAAGCAGTGGGTGGCCTCCACACCATGAATGCTTCTGCTGTGTAACGGGGCCCAAGGAAGGGCAGCCGACGAGTCGGCCTCGACGACCTGCTGAGAGCAAGAGAGCATGTACAAGAAAAATCACAGGCATGGAGAAGAAGCCTGTACCTAAACAGCACACACGACGCGTGCATCAACAATAACAAAAACAAGGACGCTTTTCTTTTCTAAAAAGGGGAGGGGGGGCAAAGAAAGTAACTGTACACATATAGCTAAGAGCACCAACAGGAAGTAGAAGAAACTGAAGTAGTTCTGCAGGCACAGGTGAACAAATAAAAGAACAATGCCTAGTAGTGGTAGTAGTACTATTAGTTGAACGAGTGCCAATGTAGGAGTAGAAAAAACATTGCGGCCGAGTGCAGCTTCTTAGAAGGAAGAGGAGGGAGAAAACAAAGTAAACCACATTGTCGCCATCATAACAGTAACCGCATGCGAGAGGAGAAAAAAACCGGGAAGAACACTGTTCCCCAAACTACACTCGAAGCAGCAGCAAAAAAAAAAAAGATAATAATAATGAAGAAAAGCAGTCTTGTGTCGTCATCACACTGCTGAGGATGGGCGCACGCACGGCATTGCTTTACACATATGTACAAAAAAAAAAAAATATATGATGAGGAGCGGTGGGCTCAGAGAGTCCCTCCCGTGCTACGGCAGTTCGCTTCTCGCCAGGCGAGAAGCCCAAGTTCGCATTACACGGTCAGTTTTGTTTAATCTTCTCCGTCACGCACAAGCACACAACGGTGGCAGAAATCGATGAGGAACAACAAGAACAAGAAACGACACCGGTCTTCTCCCACCAAAGAGGGGGCACACGTGCGGCACTGTTCCGTCGCGGCACGCACCATTGTCACGCCGGCAGGCGTCGCCGCGGCGAGGCAGGGATGAGGCAGAGAGCAAGTCCGCAGCGGCAACCACAACAAAACAAAAGTGGCTGTCCTGTCCTGCCGTCGCTCTTCCTCTCCTTAAACAACCACCACACTAATGCGGCACAAGTCACTGTCACAGCAGGTCGAGATGGAGCTTGTCAGCGCTCGCAGTACACCACACTCATACACCCGGCACACACACACACACAAACACACATGCGAGAGGGAGAGACGCCTTCATCCGCTGGCTAGGCCCTGCCAAAGCAGCCAGCGATGCAGCGAGTCTTCTCCGGCCAGCTGGCCCTAGGTGGGCTCGGAGAGAAGCTGCTGCAGCAAACTCTTGCGCTGGTCGCTGCTGGGCTTGTCATCAACCTGGAAAACGACAGCAAAACTGCAACTTGACCGTTTGCTCGCCAAGACTGCGACACGATAATGAAAAATCATTAGAAGTGCCTGGCAAATCGGCTTTCACCAGCTTGGGTTCTTCAAAGTAAATGCAGATAAATGCATGGATGTTTTTTGCACTTCAGCTCTCATTGAATTGTGGTTACCATAGAAAGCCAGTTGACAAAAGTGACCACATTTTGTCTCACGTAACCCACCCTTGCATATAACCTGCACCCTGAATGCTACGAAAAAAAGGACTCTCATAAGCCTGCAAAGCTCCACTTTTCAAGCCCTTCTTTTCATATTGGTGTGGGTTATACAAGAGAAAATGTAGTAATTGGTGCTACTGATAATGCCACAACAAGCATTACCTGCAACATTAAATGATAACACTTCAAGTGATCTTGCCATTCAATCTGCAGTATTCTATGAAACCTGACAATCAGAACACTTGCAGTCCAAATAGTTGTACACGCTGCAATGGCAGACTCAAAGCATCGCTCTTTCAGTTTGATTGAATGTATGGCCACTGTTACGGGCCCTATTGGTATGTTTTTTCTTATGACAAATAGCCAGGAACTGCCAGTAAGCATTTAATGTGAATACTGGCATGGGTGCAATTGGTTTGTGAAAATTACAGGTGGATCTCACTGCATGCCTAAGATATATTTACTGCTTTATGTAGTGCAAAGCATGCAACTAATAAAAATATTATCTAGGTGTCACATTAATTTCATATTGCGATCTACAAATAACAAGTGGCCTTGGCAATCAAGATACCACCTAATGTTAATGAGAACTGAACTACCTGATTTCAATGGGATTTTATTGACATGTCAGAAAGAAATTGCATAAATGAACTGCACGAAGAAACAAATAGTTAATAAACAAATAATTGGACTGAAGTAATAAAGCTTGGTACTTTGGCATGATGACTGGAGCAACAACAATTAATATTTTCAATCGCAGCCTGAAGTCGAAATCTCTGGGTATTCAGGTATCCGCATTAGCAATCTCTATTGGACTGGCCCCATACCCTGGGTGTAGGCTGTGCCGGCGGAGTGTCGGATGGTGCCAGCAAGGGGAAAAGGGGGGAGCCAGGTTCCGAAGGCCCACCCCCGAGTTCCAGCTGAAGGCCCAGGGCTTCGAGGTCAGCTTGTAAGAGGGAACCCCCCCCACCAGAACCGCGGACACCACCCCCCTGTTGCTGAAGGACCTGCTGCTGCTGCTGCTGAGGCTGCTGCTGCTGTTGCTGTTGTTGCTGCAGTCACCACCACACCCAAAACGAGAACGTCAAGCACCGTACCGAGGGCATTAATGACGCGGAGGAACACTCAAAGTAGCACGCGGTGCAAATCATCGACACACTAACACAACGGGAAATGCCACGCTCCAAACGTGGTTGCACACAGGGAGTCTTTCTGACCCTTAAATAAGAGCTCAATCTGGCATTCTTTCTTTCCGCATTTCAGATGATGCACTTCCAGGTATACAGGCATGCGTACAATTGCAAGAGCTTACGTCCAAGCTTGGCAATAGAATCTTGAGTAGGAAGGTCACGAGCTCAGAGTTTTCAGCAAATATAACACACTCAAGCAAAACAACAATAAGCACTGTTTGACAGACAGATGCCCCCAAATAGTCCAATTGCTTTTAAGAGTGAAGAGGGCAGAACACAAACGGTGTCTCTGACTTCATTTTTGACTGATTTCATGTGGTCGAAAAAAAACAAAACAGCAACAACAAAATAAGTTTTACTAATGTCATTCAAACAAACAACATGGCACTCACCTGTCCCTGCGTTCGGGCTCCAACTATGGCCCTGAGCTCTTGGCGTACGTACTCAGACGGCATGCTGCCCCCGACTCGACTCCTGCATTGGGCAGCAAACTTGGCTTATTTTTAATTACTGCAGCCCTATTTAGGGCTACAACAGGGGCGGTGTATTTGTGCGCACTCTACAAATAGAGCAACCACGTGTAGCACGAAAATCGGAGCAATATAAAGAAGCATAGGTCAACAGGGCTTACGTGCAGGCAAGAAATAGGAGCTACACTGGACTTGGAGGGCGAGTTAGAACATCCAGTAGCTGACAAGAAAAAAAATGCCTAGACAACAGTTATTTACCCGCCAGCACACAATATTAGGATACCAACACGCTTCACGTGAGGAAGGTTTCACAAATTTACATTTACATTCACAATCTAACCGTTTCATTTTGAGTCATAGCATCACTTCTATTCTGTTGTTTACCTCACATCCTCCTGCAGGAAAAACTACTTTTAAGACATTCACGCATGCATATAGGGACTATTTGGAAGTTTCAGGTGGTATATGACCAGCCATAATCTGCTTGAGTGAATTCCACCAACGCACCTGTCAGACGCGAATCCATGAAGGGAGTGCTGTTCAAAGTTGAATTGGGGCGAAGCGTCCAGACCAAAGACCGGCGCTGAGGAGGCAGGTGCGGCACCGTACGCACCCCCTGGAGACATCTGAGGCCCTGGTGGCGAGAGCAGCTGGTCATTCCCAAAGCCAGGTTGAGGCTGCGGCTGCTGCTGCGGTGTCCGTGGAGAGTTCACCCGAGCACCCGCTGCAACAAATGAAAGGAAGCGCAAGCGATGAAGCCTGCCGTCGTCACCGCATCCTTACTTCATTAAGGGGGGAGGTGGCATTGAAAAAATACTTTTTTATTTGTTGACCTACAGCAATGAAATTTGGCATGCATACTCATAAGTGTCTAGAATAGGGAAATATGTAGTTTCATCATGATAGCTTCAGTAGTTCTCAAGTTACATAATGCTACACGATCCAATTACATGGTCTGCTCGTGGAAAGTCTAGCGCTGCAACAAAACATGCCAGGAAGTTGCGAATGGTGTTGATCTTTACTCAAAAGAAAGCTACAGGGTATGGCACTCTAAGAATTTTTTAATAAGTTCTCTTTTTTTTAGAGATTTTTTTTAGATTGTAATTTTTTTGACTGACATTTTCTCCATAATTTTTTTTTCCACCTAGTTATTTTTCTTAGTTCTTACATTTTTTGTAATAAATATTTGCAAAATGATACCTAATTAGCCATTAATGTTCTCTGTAATTCAGCTGATTACTCTTCCCTCCGTAATTTCACTGCACACGTTCCGAGCTCTTATTACTTTCTACAAAACCAGTGTAGAGTATTGTGCCCTCTCACTACTGGACAATGCCAAGAAATGCGCTCCATTTCACGACACTGCTGGCGCTGACTCTGTGCCATCGCCGCAGGTATTGTGCGTTTAACAAATGCCGTAATGTTGAGCCAGTCATTTCTTGTTTCTCCACGGTTCATTGCAGTACCTTTATTTTATTTTTTGCATTCTAGCACCCAGCTGCGCTAGAATGCAAAATGCACACATAGGAGGCAAAACAGGCACTACAAGGCGCTGTGTGCCTGTGTACGCAGAGGTATTGCAACTTCGGATTGGCTTTGTTCTCAAACAGGCAGAACATTTTCGAACCGGGCTCAGTTCGCAGCAAATGAGTTCGTGGGTGCACTCACGGAGAACTAACAATATGATGACGAACACCGTCTATGAAAACACGAACTGTACACTGGGCGAGTGGGCGACAAATGCCGTTCGTCGCAGCACAGATAGACGGGCCCGAGTAGGCTGTTGTTACTTTGCGGAGACGGGAGCAAAGGTCAGAGCGAATAATGGAAATAGCAGCGCCAGTATCCACTAGAGCTTCGACGCGTATACCTTCTACTAACACTGTTAACAAGTTCGATGGTCTGTGGAGGAATTGCTGGCTGTCCGGTGGATGCAGTTTCCCTTCCTAAATCTGCATTGGGGAGTTTCCCGAGTGGGCATTCAGAACATTGGAGGCGGGTCACAGAGGCGACACGGAACGGCGATTGGGAGATGGTGAGCGGCGGCGAGACGCAGGTGTTCCCAGCGGCGGGAGTTCACAGGCAGACCCCTACTGTAAGGTGGAGAGGGCGAACGCTGAAAAAAAGACCGGTAAGGCGTGCGCTCGTAGTTCGTGAGTGGACTGAAGCGTCCGCGTTCCTCTGGAGCGTAGCCACGTTGCTCATCCTGTTGACGCCTTCGGCAAAAGCGAGATATATGACCCCTATAGCCGCAATAATAACAGATTGGGCGTTGAGGACGCGGCATGGCGTAATACGGCTGTGGGCGCATCAGTGGTGACACTGACGGCAGAGGTACATGGCCACCTGGTGTAGCCGCTGGGATAGTGGTGGGTGCTGAGAGTGCCGCGACTTCTGCATACGTTGGTACCTGACGAGGTCTGGGTTTGGCGGAACAAGATGAATGTGACGCAGATGCAATCTCTTGCCTAATGATGTCCCGCAAGCTGGTTGGAGCTAAGGCTAAAGTAGACGGTGGGGCGCAGGAAGAGCAGCGCCCATGAAGCTCCTTACGAACGATGTCGCGGACCAGGGCCCGGATGACGAGGGCCGCAGGAAGAGGAATGTCCGAGGCATCATGGCAAAGACGAAGAGACTGAAGTTCTTCTAGTCTCTGGCAAGTGGTGATGACATCTTGAGTCGTGGTAGGATTTGGCGATGCAAGGGGGTTGAATGCGACGGTATTTATGCCTTCTATAATATGGCGTAATTGGTCGCTTTGAGGCATAGCTGAATTTACACGCTTGCACAAGGCAAGAACATCCTCAATGTACGAGGTGTATGATTCACCCGCCAGCTGAATGCGTTCAGCAAGCTTCTTCATTGCCGCTTCAGCGCGAATACTGGGGGAACCGAAAATCTGTAGGAGCTGCCGTACGAACGTGTCCCAGTCGGGAAGATCTTGGAGGTGGTTCCAAAACCAGGTTTTGGCAACATCAGTTACGTAGAAAGGGACCGTACGCAACTTTCAGACCCGAGAATACTGGCGGATCACGCTGGTGGCTGTGGATGGCCAGGGTCGACGGCGGAGGGTGCACTGGGCTGGTAGTGTTGGATGGACCAGGATTGTCTTGCACTGCCATGGCAGGTGGTAGTAGACGACGACCCGAGCGGAGCTCCAGTGGTAACGTGTGAGAGGACTTGGGGATCGAGAAGCACCGTCCACCACTTATGAGGAAGAGCTTTACTCGAGGCAAGCTCGAGCTGGCACACACTGATGATGATATCTACAGATGAGGAAATTATACAAATGATGATGACACGGCCAATTGATAAAGAAGAATCGGTGACTGCGCTCACAATATGCTTAGGATAAATGCAGATGTGATAAACATTTATAGTTTCATGATCTTCTTGAGGCCACAGAAATGAGATAGAAGGTGAACTTGCACTAAGAAGATCTAAGTTGCATTCTTTAAGGGGGGGACAGGGGTCTTAAAAGGCCGAAAATCACGAAAAAATCGACTTGTTGAAGTTGACATTTTTGAAATCTGCAATTATTTTTGCACTGATCTGAGAAGTTTCTAGCTTCTCTACTTATTATTTTTGGCACAAAATCAATTTATAACACCCCCGTGAGATGAATCTGAGCACAAACAGACTCTGAAGTCGCGCTTTTTCCACGCCGAACCGTTGCCGTAACACACGAGCTATCCTGATAATGTTGGTCTCGTTTGGAAAGGTCGTTCTTCATCTTCAATTTCCCACCACCAATGGCCCGCCTTGCTCATTGTTTTTTCAGCAAAAACGTGTCACTGAGAAGCACCAGCGCGCGATTCTATCGCCTGCTTGAGGGACGTGACAAAACCTAGGCACCCGATTGGCCAAGTGGCGTTTCCGGCTTCTGCTTCTTTATCATGATGCGCACGAACATGCACCATTTTGTCATGGTGCTGTCGACTGCCTGCCGCGTAAAGAAGTTGCGCGAAACACTGATTTGTGAAGCGGGTGTGACAATCGTTCGTTCGCTGTGAACTTCAGAAAGAGCCCCGCTATGGCTCAGGACAGCGAGAATAACAAGCTCGCGGCAATCAGTGGCGGTCGCCAAGTCACCAGTGTAGGCCTAACTGACGTACGAGCCCGTCGGTTGTTGACGGCGTCGCTGAAAGCGGCCGTGTTTTGGAGCCTCAACAGCTAGAGGACGGCAAGTAAAAAAGCAGAAGTGAAGCTACGAGAGATAGCAATTTTCGCAACGATCGAACGGAAGCGCAGTCTTATCGCTAAACGCGCCGATGCTATGGGTTCTCCCAGTCTGACCATACGACCTTGTTTGCTTGTGAACTGCGTGACGGGTTGTTGGACTGGAGTTCGCCGCACGTCAGCAAACAACAGAAAATCAATCAATCCGTTTACAGTGAACGTACTTGCCGCCCGCACAATGGAGACTACTGGCAACAGGTAGAGTGCTTGTAACGACGCGTCCGCAACGAACATATTGCCCCGCGGCTTCCACTAGAAAAATGTGGCAATTTCACGTGAAAAAGAAACTAACACCTCGCTGCTCTTGAAGCCTTGAAATTGATGAGCGAGTGCGCGAGTTTGGTCCGCGACATCAACAACTCAATCTGGACAAGCCGAAAAACATCGCTTTATCATACAACAGATTGCGGATGACGCGTGCACATTCGTCGCACATAGGTGTCACGGAATTGATAAGCGGCCTAGTCGGCAGATGAGCCCACGGCGACCGCATCAGCTCGCAAGTGTGCCTCTACGAAAACATGCAGTGGTCATTCAAAAAATGTCATTTAGGTGACGAAAAACAGACTACACGCCTGGTGCCTACTGAGAAAGCTGAATTTGTAAATCATTGTAAATGAACAGCTTTTCCATGCTACTGTCTGCCTAAAATGGGCTTCTTGTGTTTTTGAATGATTTCTCAGGATTCAAATTTTGCTGCAGTTGCAAGCTTGTCTAAAAAATATCTCTGCCTCCAGAGCAGCTAGGTCTGTCATTTTCGTTGTGACATGTAGCTGTATCTTTAGTTTACACAATGATAGGTGGGAATTTTTGATCGAGATCTCCAGAAATTTTATTTTTGCCAGAAATAGGAGCATTAGGTAGGTGTGTCTGCAACACTGAAATGCAAGGTGCGACAAACCTTGCTAAAATTATCAAATCAAAAAAGCACTCCTACCGTTGTGTGGCTTATGTTCATTAGTATACGGGCATGCGCCAATAGTAGCTCCGCAATAGGAATTTCTTGTCATCATACCGGCAAACAATAGGTAATTAATTTTAGAATATTTCAAAAACTAATTGGTTTAGAGGAAAAGTAATTAAATTTTTGGAATCAGCATCAAAAACTCAATTACACTCAATCACAGTAGAATGTGCAGGTTCTAAAAATGTAATTACATTTTTGATAGGTCAAGTAGTTTCTAAGATACTCCATAATCACTTTAAAACCTGGGTCCTTGGTTTGCAGCCTAATTAGCATCTAAGGAGGAAGTATCAAAACATTGGCGACGGTGTAAAAACGATGTAGGATGTTCAGGGGAGGACGTGGCAATGAAAATTATCTTTGTTATTTATGAAGCCAAAGGATTGAAATTCGGCATCAGATGTCACTTGTGCTGATATCATAACTGAAATCGGTTTTGAGGCATCTAATACAACTTTTGAGTTACAACATTTGATAGGCTCTCAATGTCATCCCAAAATTAATTAGCTAATTAGACACAA